AGACATACACACAGCAACTGGGACAGATCTTCAAAAACAGGACTTAGAGAAGCAAGAAGAAAACTGATACAAAGCATTATAAACTAAAAAAGCATACATACAAAACAAACACTCCCATTCTGCAAGATCCTAGATAGACAAAAAGAAAGATAGTAAGTGCATTAGAATGAGGCTTGAGTGGCTGGGAATGGGATAAGGTAAGTAAAAACAAAAGCAATCTTTTATATTTTTTTTTGCATGTTATAAAAGAAAAATTTGACTGACCTAGGATAAATACAAAATTAGAATTGCTTCTTTCCCCAAAGTTCCCAATTTTCCTAACAACAAAAGCTACTCTGGTTGCCAGCTCTGTTGATGAGTACCAGCTTTTTATCCTTTTTTCAATCAGGAAGGGAAAATTCAGAGATCAGCAAAGTATGGAAAGGATCAGCAGAGAATATTTACGAAACAGTGTTTTTGTTCTCATGACCTGACAACCTGACTGAAAAGACCTGAATGCCTCTTGATTTGGGATGATTCAGCTAAAGCCAGGCTGGTGTCAAGTTTTCAGGTCATTTGAAGCTATTTATTTAGAATCTCTTCCGACACCTCCTGCCTCCCTGTACAAACATCCTGCACCACTTGGAATCTTAAAGTTCTTGGACTGGATGGCCCCAGCTATTTTACAAAGAAGGAAACCAAAGGTCTGAGAAGAATTATGGTTTGGGGTGACACAACTGGTTTAAAAAGGAAGGGGTCCCAGATTCAGCCCTTGTCCCCCTTCTGTCTATTCTCAGCCCAGCAGCCAGAGTGATCCTTTTAACACATAAGTCACCATGAGCTTCACTGTTCAAAACTCTCCAATCACTTCCCCTCACTCAGAGCAAAGGCCAAAATCTTACAATGGCCTGCACTGATGTGCCCCTCCCACCCCCCACTGACTCTCATCTGCGGTCACTCCCCCTCACCCATGCCACACCGCCCAGCCACCATGACTTTGCTGCCCTCACACATGCCACTCATGCTCCTGCATCAGACTTAGAACCTGCTCACCCACTGCCTCCTCCCATTCACTCCCTCAGATACTTCAAGTCTCAGATCAAAATCTCAGCAGAGGCCTTCTCAGACCCCTCTGTATAAAAAGTAAATCCCCCACCATGCAAACATACTTCGCATCTCCTACTGACGCTGCTTTAAAGCTCTCCACAGCATTCTGATCGTCTGACCTTCTGTCCATTCACACATTCATTTACTATCTGCCTCCACCCCCCAGAATGTCTGTTCCAGAAGGCTGTGTCTGTTTTGCTCACTGCTGTATCCCCTGTACCTACAACAGTGCCCAGCACATACAGGCACTCAGAGTGTATTTGATGAATGGATGAACAAGTCAGGACCAAAAACCATGCCTTCACACTCCATGTACAACACCCTGTCTGCCCTCCTGTGCTGGTTCATTTCTTGGTGGGCACACCCTTCAGTCAGAAGAGAAGACCCACAAATCTACAAACCATGTTAGCCACTCTGTGTCTACTTTACCTCCCATGGCTACCTTTTATAGCATGGACGATAAAATACCTAACCAAAAGTTACCACCTTCATTTGTTTAACAGCAGTTTCATCATGGAGCTGCCTAGTGATCTGACTTTATGGCTGCTATAATATTTTAGAACCTTCTGTCTTCCTAGGCAAGATACTGGTATATCATAATTCCTGACCAAAAAGACTAAGTTAAGCAATGTTGAGAATTAGCTTATTCAAATGTTTTCCTGCTGAACTGGGATATAAGAAGCTACTTCATATTAATTGAACTGGGATTGTAAAACTTTTCAGAAGTATTCTGAATGAATTTTAAGGATGCTTTGGCAGAAGACCAAGCACGCTTGAGAACGTCACAGGAGGTAATCTTGTAATAATGCCACAGTGTAAGTCACAATGACTTAACCAACTTCAGAAATGACAGAACAATAAACCTAGAAAATAAGTCAAGCTTTATACCTGGCAACAGGTATGTAAGCCCCATTTTCATTCATTTAGTTATAATGGCTTCTTTATCATTTAAAAAAAATTCCCCCAAACAAATTTAACGCTAAAGTATCCATAGTGTGAAAAACCAATTTTTAAGCCCAACACTGATAAAAATGATTTGGAGGGTTGGGAATAATATCCAAGTGAACATGAAGCTTCACTATGGATCATGAAGAAAGCATTTCCTTCTGAGATGCAGATAAATGAGTTCACTGGCTCTGGAGGCTTCCTATATTGCAGTGTCCAAACAGAGAAGATAAAAATCTAAACCTGGTCCACTTAACCCTTGCCCAGAACCAGAGCATCATGGAGTCTATGTTCTAAAAATAAATATCTATCTACCCTTTGGGTTTTTTTTTTTTTTTTTTTGTAGAGACAGAGTCTCACTTTATTGCCCTTGGTAGAGTGCTGTGGCATCACAGCTCACAGCAACCTCCAACTCCTGCGCTTAGGCAATTCTCTTGCCTCAGCCTCCTGAATAGCTGGGACTACAGACGTCCACCACAGCGCCAAGCTATTTTTGTTGTTGTTGCAATTTGGCTGGGGCCGGGTTTGAACCTGCCACCCTCAGTATATTGGGCCCGCCCTGCTCACTGAGCCACGGGCCCTGCCCCCTCTACCCTTTGTTTTTAGATCTTAAATGGTGATTCAAGAAGCATGATTTATCTTGTTCTCTAAGAAAAAAATAATATAAATTCAATCAATGCTTGCAAGGGGCTCTGAACTGCTATGTGGCTAAAAGAGAAATGTCAAGAGGGTCTCTGCAGGGAAGGGAGGCACTCAGAGAAAGGATTCAGAAAAGAGTCAGAAATCAATGGAAACTAAAAGAGGGAAATGCTCTGTCTCTGGACTATAAGATAAACAAATAATCATAACATACTTGGACAGAATGTCCATAAAAATTATCATTAATCTCAACCAAAAATACACAAAATATGAACACTGTATAAAAGTCATCTTATCACATTTTCGAGTCAGAACGTTCTTGCTTATTGCAAAAGTTATCTGTGGCACTACAGAGACCCCATTCCCAGGCCAGACTAAAGCTGTTCTCCACTATACACAAAGCACTCCATTCTAGTCTCTGAATTTAAGTAAATTGAACATTGAAGTGTCCATAATTTGAAAAATCACTTTTCATTTATTTTAGCCCAACATTGACAAAGTAACTGGGAGAGATGAAAATAATGAATTTTAAGATTTGCTAAGCATTGTGAGGCATGGTGGCTCACTCCCCAAATCCTGGCACTCTGAAGAGGTGAAGGCAGGAGGACAGCTTAAGCTCAGAAGTTTGAGACCAGCCTGAGCAAAGAGAGACCCTGTCTCTACTAAAAATAGAAAAATTAGCTGGGTGTGGTGGCACAAGACTGTAGTCCCAGTTACTCGGGAGGCTTAGGCGAAAGGATTGATTGAGTCTGGAAGTGTGAGGTTGCTGGCAGCTAGGCTGGGACCATGGCATGCTAGCCCAGGCAACAGTACATGACTGTCTTAAAAGAAAGAAAAGAAAACAAGAAAGAAAGAGATTAGTTATGCATCATGCAGAACTTTTTTAAAACGTTTTTCTTAAAATGTTTTTGTTGCCACCATGAGTGACATGTGTTTCAAGTTTAACATGTAAAATCAGAGAACTCTAGAGTTAGAAGAGGGCCTTAGAGAGCCTGTAATTCAACGTTTTAGAAATGGGCGCTGAAAGGTAAACTAACTTGCTCGTCACCTGGATTCTATTCATGCTGTGAGAGTAATAAAGACAGCACTGACTAAGAAAAGATGCCTGTATGCTGTGAAAGTACTTCAGTCTTCAAAATATACTACAGAGTAATCAGTTCTACTCACCGCCTGTAACTCAGCTATGTAAACAAGCAGAGCTAAGCTATGCTCAAGCCCTAAATATTAGTATTACTGCTAGCTTGCCACATACCACAGCATCGCTAATTACAAAAAGGAAGCGTTTCAACACAAGATACTCGTTTCTTTCTTTTTTTTTTTTTAGAGACAGAGTCTCACTCTGTCGCCCTAGGTAGAGTGACGTAGCGTCAAAGCTCACAGCAACCTCCAGCTCTCAGGCTTAGGCGATTCTCTCGCCTCAGCCTCCCGAGTAGCTGGGACTACTGGCACCCGCCACAACACCAGCTATTTTTTGTTGCAGTTTGGCCTGGGAGAGGTTCGAACGCGCCACCCTAGGCATATGGGGCCGGCACCCTACTCACTGAGCCACAGGCACTGCCCAATACTCGTGTCTTATACAGTAAAAGAAATAACGTATGTGCCAAAAATATTTACCCTTCACTATTGTACGAATGAGATAGTAAAGAATGAGACTGCATTTAAAATAGTTTTGTTTTTGTACTCAAAATTTAACTATTCTCCAAGTATTCTCCACAGCTCCTAATGTGCATTAGACCCTGGCCTGTTTGGTAACCCAAAATCCCTTTATTCAAGTGACAGCATCATCAACCTTGGAAACACTGATACTTAATGGACATCAGTACCTGCAGCAGGAATGCAGGTGTCCGTGGGTACCTGCAAAACCCTGCCATAACCAAAGCTGCATCTCTAGCTAAACAAGTCTAACTCTTGCCTGGGAAACTCTGCCTCCCTTACTCGGAATCACGGATTCCTATACTGACTAGATGAGTGGTTTGAGCATCTGTAAAATAAAGGGGTTGGGCTAATACTGAATTCCATTTCCAGCTCTTAAATTCCACTGCAGTGAAAAGAGCCCAGGGCTTGACACCATTTAAAAAGCTCACGTCCGCATCCCTCTTCTCCCCCTCCAACTCCCGGGACCCCCAGGGGTCCGACCCAGCCGTGGGAGGCAACGGTGCGAGCAGGGCATACGGCGCCCACAGCCCCTCGCGGGCTCCGGGCCGACCAAGCGCAGCGCGCCGCAGGCCCAGCCGCTCCGTGAGTCCCTCTGCGCGTGGGTCCCCTCCGCCCGCGGCCCGGGACAGCGACCGCCGCTCCCCGCCCGGCCCAGCTCGACCCCGGCTCCTGACCTGCTCTCCGCCGCCCGGCGGTCCCTTGGAGCAGCGGGCAGCTGCGGCCGCCCGTCCTGGGCCGCTGTCACCTCGCCCCTGAAAGCGGCGGGCGGGTCGATCCCGGTGACTCAGCTGGCCGCCCCGCCTTCCGCCTCCCGCCCAGGCTTCCGCCTCGGCCCGCGCGGCCCGCGCGGCTCCGGGGGCGCCTCGCCTCGCTCCCCGCGTGCCCACCTCCCGGGCCCGCCCCGCGCTCGCGCGCCGTAGTGGCCCGCCAGGCCCCGCCCCTCGTACGTCAGAGGGGCGGTGCTCCGGGCACCTCTACCCGGGAAACTGAGTCACCAGGGCCGGTCCCCTCCGCACCCCCTCGACCCGGCCAGTCCGGCTCTGCCTGTGTTCTATGTGCGGCCCCGGCTGGTGGAGAGTTCCTTTCCCCCTTGCGGTCCCCTCGCCGCTCACACTGCTCTCCAACCTAGAAAAAAGGCAAAATAACGTTTAGAGAAGAGCAATTCCTGTCTGTCCGTGATGCTATCATCTTTGCTGCCCTGAGGCAGTTTCCTTTATCAAGTCACACATTATTGGCGGGTTTTGCATCCGTCTGTCGCATTCTTTTTCCACAGAATTTCTTGGGACATCTTAGAAATTTTAAAACCAAGCAATGGCAGAAAGCATGAACTGGGCAGGGCTGACGGAACGTTTCCAACGGGTTCGTGGATTCCCTTTGTGTATTAGAGATCACGAAGTAAAACTGCTTGGCTGTGTTGTTTGAACCGCCATGCAGGTTTCTGGGATCTGCCTAGGAGATTCTGGAGAAAGGGGCAAGTCCTTCACTGCGTTTACAACAGAGAAGCTTTTATGGCAAAAATTTCACTGGGATACAGTACATCGTTTCTTCTTTCCTTCGCTTTTTATTTAATTAATTAATTTGTTTATTTATTTATTTTTGAGGCAGAGTCTCATTTGTTGCCCTCAGTAGAGTGCCTAGATATCATAGCTCATAGCAACCTCAAACTCCTGGACTCAGACGATCCTCTTGCCTCAGCCTCCAGAGCAACTGGAACTACAGGCACACACCATAATGCCCGGCTGTTTTTGGAGACCGGTCTTGCTGTTGCTCAGGCTGGTCTTGAATTCGAGCAATCCACAATCCACCCTCCTAGGCCTCCCAGAGTGATAGGATTACAGGGGAGAGCCACCTGCTCTGCCTTCCTTTGCTTTTTAAAAAATGTGGTTAGGCGCCTGTGGCTCAGTGAGTAGGGCACCGGCCCCATATACCGAGGGCGGCGGGTTCAAACCCAGCCCCGGCCAAACCGCAACAAAAAAATAGCCGGGCGCTGTGGCGGACGCCTGTGGTCCCAGCTACCCGGGAGGCTGAGGCAAGAGAATTGCCTAGCCCAAGAGCTGGAGGTTGCTGTGAGCTGTGACCACATCAACAGAGTGAGACTCTGTCTCCAAAAAATAAAGAAAAAATTGTGGTTAAATAAACACAACATAAAATTTACCATTTGACCATTTTTAGTTGCAGTTTCAGAGGCATTTTAAGTTAAGGACACAAGCAATCTATTAAGTAAATCAGTGGCCTACAGGTGTGATTTGAGCTTTATCTTGCATAGCCTTAGGCCTGTTAATGAGTTATAAAGGGTATCTCCCAGGATATCTCCAGGACAAGGCTTTCTTAACTTCTCTTGTCAAGGCTAGCAACTCAGCTTTAGGGCGTTTGTGGGGGTCCTCCCAGCCAAGAGAGTGTTCGTTATCAGCTGAGGGCTCAAGATTTTATTTTATTTCACAAAACCAACCTAAACTTACTTCCTTTCACCTAAAAGAGTCAATTTCAGAATTACTGCATTCTCATTCTTTGGAGGTATAGTTCTTTAGAAGATGCACTAAAGTTTAAGAATTTCTGCTCTAGGGTACTGAAAAGATTCTAAATCATAAAAAGTGAAGTAATATTTTTTCACTTATCAACAAAGACATACTGTACTTCTGGGATGCAACAGGTATCTTGCCGGGTGTTAGGGATTCAGCCTGATCAACACAGATAAGCTCCCTCACCTCTTACAGCTGCACATGCTAGAATGGGGCGGCAGACAATCAACAAATGATAAACCAGATAATCATGGGGTGTGCTGAGTGGTACCAAGGAAATAATCCAGATGATATGATAGATTAGATCATAAAGAATTAAACCCTAATGCCCTAGGCATCCATTGTTTATTAAATGAATTAACTTCTCTCCTATATAACAAGAATGGTACAAGTTACATACAAGCCCTTCAGAGAACTGAGAATCTGTTCTGTGGTTTATGGGAGGAATCTAGGCTGATAAGCGCCGAAGTCAAAGGTGGGAAGCTTCTCTGAGTAGAGAGGTAATTAGGGAGTCTTCTCTGGAGATGTAGCAGAAAGAATCAGCCAAGAGTTGAGGTAGGCTTTTCAAGTAGGAGAATCTACAGTACAAGGTCTGAGGTAGAAAGCAAGTCAGGAAATCTCAGAAATAGGAAAGAAGCAAGCCACCGTTATGAGATGAGATTAGAAAGCAAACTGGACTGAAGATCATTCTGGGCCTGCTGGGCCATGGTAGATTCTTCTAAAAAATCAATGTATCGATACATGATAAAATATTCCCTATTGAAGGGACTGAAAGGATCAAAAGTAACTAGGCTAACTGCTTTGTTAGCAAGAGGGATAATATCTGCATGTGTAATATTAAAACTGAAAAACATGGGTTCTTTTTTCCTGGATAATCCTCAATAAACCAAAACACAGAATGGCTCAGCTGCCATGCATTTTGATTAATCAAATTGATTAAAACTATTTGGGTGTGTCATCCTTTGACCTTATGTCCGAACAGAAATGCAATCCACCAGGATGCATTTGAAGTCCCGTCACTGTTATGATATAGCATCACAAACAGCATGGCTTGGCCCCAGATCAAAGCTGGCTCCCTCTGGCTTCCCCTGCAATGAACCATGTTGCAGTCATAAACTGTTGTTAGCAGTGGTGAGATGATAAGAGTAGTAAGCTGCTGAATGGAATCAATGCTGGCCTTTCTCATGGTGGGCTAGCTGTTAATCCTGGAATAGCCAGGGGTCCAGTTCCACAAAGGGAAGGAGTGCAGACAAAATACAGTTAATATGTTGTTATTTCTATTATTGAAGATGTCCAACAACTTAATGGAAGAATATGGAAGACATGAGTTAGCATACTAAATGTTAGGCCCCTCATGGAAATGCTATTAACTATTCATCAAATTGGTACCAGGATGCACCTGGAAGTCTCAAGGGTGTGATTCAAAAAGGTCATGATTGGGCCAGGCACAGTAGTTTATGCCTGTAATCCTAGTACTCTGGGAGGCAAAGGTGGGTGGATTGCCTGAGTTCACAGGTAGACACCAGCCTGAGCCAGAGACCTCATCTGAAAACAGCCAGGCATTATGGCAGGCCCCTGTAGTCCTAGCTACTTGGGAGGCTGAGGCAAGAGAATCACTTGAGCCCAAGAGTTTGCTGTGAGCTATGATGTCATGGTACTCTACCTAGGGTGACAAGTGATGCATATATATATATAATATATACGTATATATATGTAGATCTAAGTGTTACTATCAGACCTTTTCCTATTTCTACGAGAAGATAAAAAGAAGATATTTGGAGATCTGGAAGGAGATGGGGAAGGAAGGAATAGAAAACTGAAATACAGAAGAGAAATTTATAGTAAATGTCTATTGGGACCTGGCTTTACATAAAGGTCTTAGTATATATTATCTTTTCTCTCTTTAGTATTTACTTATTTATTTATTTTCTGAGACAGAGTCTCACTTTGTTGCCATCTGTAAAGTGCTATGGCATCACAGCTCACAGCAACCTCTAGCTCTTGGGCTTAGGTGATTCTCTTGCCTCAGCCTCTCAACTACAGGCACCCACCACAATGCCCGGCTATTTTTTGTTGCAATTTGGCCGGGGCCGGGTTCAAACCTGCCACCCTTGGTATATGGGGCCGGTGCCCTACTCACTGAGCCATAGGCACTGCCCTCTTTTTTATTCACACAAGTGTGAAAGGGTTTTTTTTTGTAGAAAAGATATGTATTACTCCCCCCAAGAAACAGACACAGGATGATTTCCCATTTGAATAGAATTAATAATTAAAAAAAATAATTTATAAGTTATTTTTATTTTTTCATCATTGTCCACATTAATGATGCACAGTAATCAGGCTCATCTTTTCCTTTTTCTTTTCTTTTTTTTTTTTTTGAGATAGGGTCTCACTATGTTGCCCTCAGTAGACCACTGTGACATCACAGCTCACAGCAACCTCTAACTCTTGGGCTTAAGCAATTCTCTTGTCTCAGCCTTCCAAGTAGCTGGAACTACAGGTGCCCACCACAAAACCCAGCTATTTTTTGTTGCAGTTGTCATTGTTGTTTAGCAGGCCCAGGCTGAGCCTGAACCCACCAGCCTCAGTGCATGTGGCTGGCACCATAAGTGCTGTGCTACAGGCGCTGAGCCAGGTTCATCTTTCCCTTCACCAATTGACACTGATTGTTTTTTCTTAGCATATATCTTTTCTGAATTAAATTAAGTTAAATTTCATTATGTATTTATTTTCTTGAGGCAGTCTTACTCTGTTGCCCAGGCTAGAGTGCCATGGTGTCAGCCTATCTCACAGCAACCTCAGAATCTTGGGTTTAAGTGAACCTCCTGCCTCCGCCTCTAGAGTAGCTGGGACTACCCACCACCACACCCAGCTAATTTTTTCTATTTTTAGTACAGACAGGGTCTCACTCTTGCTCAGGCTGGTCTAGAACTCGTGAGCTCAAGCAATCCACCTGCCTTGGCCTCCCAAAGTGCTAGGATTACTGGCATGAGCTACATCAGCCGGTCTTAATTTTATTTTTTTATTGACAGAGACTCGCTATGTTACCCAAACTAGCCTCAAACTCCTGGACTCATCTCAGCCTCATCTCAGCCTCTTGGGTATCTGGGATTGTAGGCGAGAGGCATCTTACCTATCTCCTTAGCATATATCATGACAATGACCCAGCAAGGTAGTTCCGGTTATCCTTTACTTATAAATGAGGAAACGGAGGCTCCTTGAGGTTAAGTTGTTTCTGCTGTCCTTTCTACACATCCCCTATTTTAGTCATTCCTATACCACTTTTTGTTATAATCTTGTACTCTCAGAAAGTCA